TATAATGCCCCAGACCCTAGATAAACACCTTTTCACCCAGCAATCTGGAGACTTTATTCCTGAGCAGAGGATCTGGCTCCTGTTCCTTTAAGTGAGGTGTATAGTCACTAGCAGGGGGCTAATCTGGTTTCCCACCAGAGTGCTCCTTCCCCTATCTGCCCAGGGGGTGCAGGTGTACCCACTTAGTCCTCTCCTGTGCCGCTTGTGGAATGGCTGCTGCTACCAGGCCTATCAGCTGGGCTTCTCCTTCCCTGCCAAACAGGTGTACCTCTCTCAGGGGGCCAGTGAGTCCTGAGTTTTCTTCCTTTCCAGATCCAGGCCTGCAGGCAGACCCTATCTCACCAGGCCTCCTGGCAGCCTTCCTCATCCAGCCTCACATCTTTCTGCTCCACACTCCTCTCCCACCATACTCTTCTGCTACTGAGCAAGCGCCAACACCTTTTAAGAGAGCCCCTTTCCCAGCCTCCTGTTGGGGATTGGCTGAGGTCCCTCAAAAGTGCTGCCAATCACTCCTCAGATCCACCCACTGCCTCCAAAGCACTCCTCCGAAAGCCTCAGAGCAGGGGGTAATTCCAGAGGGGCTGGCCTGCAAAGTATCTCAGTCCTGACCAGAATTTGACCCCTCTGGCTATCTCGCCTGAGCTGCAAACCAGTTCCTGATGAACCATTGGGGTCTAGCTTCCCTAGATAAACTAGGAGGGTGCTACACTAGCAAGTCTTTTTCCTTTGCTAACCCTCCCCCACCCCTGTGGAACAGCCCTGCTTTTTTAAACTTACCATCTTCCTGTTTGAAGGAAACATCTTCTTTGAAGTCACAGTGATATAATCAACTTGCTTTACCCAGCTTCAGGATTTTTGTCTTCCAGTGCCGCAAGGAGGAGGAGTCTTCATGGTACCCTACATCATTGCAGAACTAATGAGGTGCTTTAAAGAGACTTGTCACCCAACTAGCAGAGAACCTGCTAGGATGACCGGTCTACTCAACAGACAGTGTTGCATCAAGCACATCAAGCAGACAGATGAATGAAGTCAAAAAGGATCAAGGCACACCTGGCCCTCTATAAAAGCTAGGGTGCTTGCTTCATGAATACAAACCTGATGTTGTCTGCTGGGAGGGTTTTTAGGCCCTCTCTGTTTAGTGCCTCTCACTCCAGTTGCTTGCTGCCAGATACTACTAGACGTGATCCTGATCTTGCTCCTGCCCTGCATTCTATACCCTGCTGCCTCTTTCCTGCTCCCCTTGTATCTGATCCCATTACTGGTTTCCCCTCCAATCTGTTCCCTGCGTCTGCAGTTTACCCTGTTTATCATTGTTCCCCATTTTTGTATATATTTTATATAGTTAGTTGTTAATTAAGCTTTCTGTTTGTTAGTTGCTAGTCAGGTATTCTGTCACTGGGTTTTTGGTTCACTTGTGTCTTTGTTTGCCATGTGCTAGTGTTTGGATGAATTTTGTTTCCCTGTAGATACATTTCACTTAAAGCATACAGTCTGGTTCCAGTTTCCTGAGTATACCCATGAAAATCTGGGCATCTCTGCTGCTGATTCCTAACACAAACTTTCTTATTGGTCAGTTGAACACAACATATATCATACTAATTCTTTCATCTGTTTGCTATCCATCCTTTCTGTCTGTTGAAAAAATCAAAAAGCCTTATGTTTACAGGGCTCAATAGCTCAAGCTCAAATTTACACATGAATATAGTTGAAGCGGTGACTGCTCTCCTTCTCCTTCTGTTTGCAGTGGGCTCTATACAAAGTTGCAATCAGGGGAAGGAAGCATCTGAACGGAAACAGCAGGATTCTTTGAATTACAGTTTTTTTAGGGAAAATAAGTCCAGCTTGATAGCAGCATCAGTTTCCATTAACTCCTGAAACTATTAAAGTTTCTGAGCATTTTATTAGTTATTGGTATATAAGCCAGCTACAGTTTAGGCTGAGCGCTCCCTTATTGTTGCTTAGACACGTTCTCCATCTTTTATTGTGTTGCGTTTTGGTGGGGGCCAGACTAACCTCGGTTCAGTGACTATTGAATTCTGATGAGTATGTTGAAGCGGTCTGCCTCTGTGGAAGGAACAATGGCTGAAGGCCACTCTAGCACAACAGCATAAGAGCTACCACTGGCTTTGTGTCATCTGTCATCTAGCTATACAATGGGAAAGTAGTATGATGGCTTAAAAAGAAGTGAATAGTCTTCTTTATGTAGCCTTCACATAAATGAATGTATGTAGCGCTAATGTAAGTACTTATTACGCCGTGTATAACTGGGAATCATGACCTTGATAACTTGCTCTGAAACAGACAATACAATACAATACAATACGATACATTGTTTATCAATATGTTTAAAGACTCAAAATGTAAAACATGGATACATTTACTAAGGACATTTTGGGGGTAATTGACTAGAAATGCAGTAAAAAGAAAGATGCTAATAGATGACCACAGAAACCAATTACATATCAGTTGTCTTTTTCCACCCGGGGGGTAAAACAGAATTGGGTGCTATAGAGAATTCAGATAATTTCTTCTGGATTTTATAAATTGCCATGAGTACCTTACATATAGATGATAAATGTTGAATACCTAAAGGGTAACTACTATAGATATATTTTTGTTTCATGTTTAAGGTAAACTCAATACACAAATTAATTATATATAAGGGAGCTTTTTTACCTTTATTTCTGTCTACCTAGTCCTGAGATTTACACAGCAATGCCACATAACAAAGCCTTTTCTGGGAGAACAGGGGATCGTATTTCTGCTGCACTTAAAGCAAAACTAAACCCATTGATTTGATGGTTTTCTAAAACAGTTACATTCAAGGCATTTCGTGCCTGAGCCTGTGATTGGACAGGCAAAAAAAGTAGCAGCAGACCAAAGAGCTCAGCTCTCTGTCACTCTGTTCTCTCCTGCTATCAGCAGGCTCCTTCTTAGCACATGAAAATTTCAACAAAACTGGTTGGCTCTTTGGGCTGCTTCTCCACCTCTCAGTCAGAGCTCTGTTATATATGGTTTGCAAAGGAAATATGAAGTCAAATTCAGGTACTTACATGACTTGCACGTAAAAAAATTTATATATTAATATTAATGAATACAAAGCTGCCAATATTTTGTGTATTTTATATCTACATGGAGTTGTGTAATGTAATATGTAAGTCTAGCACTTACAAGTATTTATTTCCTAGAACAGGGGTTTCCAAACTTTCTAAGCAAAGGGCCAGTTTACTGTTCTTCAGGCTTTGGGGGGGGGGGGGGGGGGGGGGGGGGGGTTACTGTGGCCAGTGAGGGTAAACAATGCCCCATTGTTGGTTTTAAAGGAAGGAATAGTGCCCCATCGTTATTGTCAGTGGGAGGAATAATGTCCCATCGTTGGCGCCAGTGGGAGGAATAGTGCCCCTTCATTGATATCAGTGGGAGGAATAGTGCCCCATCATCGGTGTCAGTGGGAGGAATAGTACCCCTTCATTGGTATCAGTGGGAGGAATAGTTCCCCATCATCGGTGTCAGTGGGAGGAATAGTGCCCCATTGTTGGTATCAGTGGGAGGAATAGTGCCTCAATCTTGGTATCAGTGGAAGGAATAGTGCCCCATCATTGGTGTCAGTGGAAGGAATAGTGCCCCATCATTGGTGTCAGTTGGAGGAGTAGTGCCTCAAGGGCCAGATAAAGACAAGCAAAGGGCAACATCTAGTCCTCAGGTCACAGTTTGGAGACCTCAGAACTAGAAGGTCCCAACTTTGATGAGCCCCAGCATTCTCATGTATCCTTCCCACATACTGTGGCCCAAAAAATCACTTAGGCTAGCTTCACATTTTGTGTGTTGCTGGAAAAATATACGTCCCTTTTGCAGGCACGCAGTGGTGCCATTAATTCTTAATGGCAACCCAATGCACCTTGCTAATGTATGTGCTTTTGCGCACACCAAATCACATGGTAACAAACTACTATACATTTTAGTGCATTGTGATTTGTAAAAAGGGTCCTGGTCTTCCTGTGTGATTATTATGTGTAGGGCAACCAATTGAAATGAACAGGCTATCCTAAATGGAACACTTGAAATCGAGCAAGAATGTGTAGGTGTGAACGGAGCCTTGCAATTACTAGAGATCAACAGAGGGAACGAACTGTCAAGTCATTCAATGCAAATGTAATACCACAGAGGGTGCACACAGAACCTAGTGTCTCTGAATTTGGTCGTGTGATCTGTGAGATCTCTTTGGATTCAGGCAATCTGGACCAGGACCCTTAAACACATAGTATACTTTTGAGTAAATGTGGTTTTCGTTGAATCTAATGCTATTGAGTATTTTATAAACGGGGAGTACAGATGCAAGAAATAGAAAAAAAGAAAGGTTCAGATCTTCCAAAATGGTAAATTATACACATCGAAAATCTATATAGAAACTCAGATTCCAGTAGTGACAAGCAAAAGGCACAGGAGAAGAACCGTTACTGCCTTGGATCATCTAGATAGGAACTGGGAAGGCAACAACCCAACTAAGATAATCGGATGCTACCTTCTTCGGGTAACATAGTGAAAAGTGACATGATTCAATTGGCAGGTTCATCCACTGGTAAAGAGAAGATACTTGAGCCTATAAGAAATATGGCTAGTGGCAAGAGAAGGGAGGAAAAGTCAGGCAAGAAAGAAGGGAGCGACTGGGGGTAGGAAGAGGAGAGGGAAGGTTGGGGGACACTTCATTATGGCTGGTTGATGGTTGTAGGAATTTCTTCCTTTATCCAATCCTGAAATGTAGATTAGTAATGAAACCAAGCTGTTCAAGTTTTACTGAACTGTTTGTCCCTGCCATTTTTCTGCAACAGCAGATGTTCAAGGTCTCTGATGGAGTTGAGTTCAGTTGCCCATTCCAAAAGGTATAGAGGTTGTTTTCCAATAAGGGGGAAATGTAGTTTTAATCCAGCTACCAAACAGATTTATCACTGGAAATTATGACTGCTATATGCCATGCTAAGTGTATGCTTTCTTGGAATTTGTAGGCTGCACTTATGTCCAGGAGAGTGAGCACGGTGTCTGAGTCATCCACAGTCTCTGTTGAGGATGATAACGGGGAGGAAAGATCTAATGATGAAGTTCTGGCACAGAAATCAGAAGAAAAAAAGGTGATCTCTCTATATATAGATGTATTTCTTCTTCGGGTATATTTCATGTCTCCATATAAATGTATAAATTAAAGTTCCATCGGCCTCTATTCACTCCCTTTAGCTACTTGGGCTTTGGGCTAAATTAACATTGATTCTGTTCTCCCAGGAGTTTGTCTTTGTTCTGTACATAGCATAGGGCTTGTGATTAAATTTTAAATAGCCTTGTGTACATTACAATACAAGCCAGCATCAACACCATGAGGGGAGATACAAGCTAGATAAATCTTTAACTTCATCTGTAATGTTTTATGTTAAATGGAATTGGTGCTTTTATTTTAAACAAGCTCATAGGGAATCATTAATCTCAGACTTTTAACTGAGAATCATGAAGCCCCAGCTACAGATGTATTTTTTTCCTCAAATGAAACACTTTTGATTGCCAACAGACATCAGTGCATATACCTACCTTTTATCTATCTTTATTAGCTAGTCCAAAGTAATGCAAATTTTCATAGACACACTTTTGTCTTTATACTTTGAATGCGAAAATTATGCAGGGAAAGAATGGCCCCATATAATACTACATCACCAAATCATCATGAATGGTGATGGTTGATTCACACAAACAGAAAACTCTATCAGGATAAATATGGTAAAAAATGCTTCTCTCCCAAAAATATGGATCAAGCAAATTTCCCAAGGTAATATATTTATATATATATATATATATATATATTGGTATTTATAAATAAATAAAAGGGATGCATTGACATACAACATAAAAACACATTTTCTTACAGAATATATGAAGTATTTGAAAACAACATAAGAGTGTGGTAGAATAAGCAGAAAAACAATATTTTAATTGGCTAATTGAGGAACACTTTGCAATCAGTGTTGATTGTAGTTGCCATCTTGGGGGATGATTTACCAAGGGCAAATAGACTATGCACTTTGCAAGTGCAATTGTTCCAGAGCTTAGTAAAGTGAGGTGAAGCTTCACTTTACAAAGAATATCCAATCACATGCAAAGAACATACAAAACACAAGTTGCTTGCACGAGATTGGATGATTAAAAGTCACCAGAGCTTTCCCTCATTTACAAAACTTTGGAGCAGTTGCACTTGCAAAGTACACAGTCTATTTTCCTTTAGTAAATCAAATCCTTAGTGTCAGTGTAAATTGTACCTAAACCCCCCTCCAAACCAGGAGATTACCTTTAAAGGTGGGGAAGTGTAATAATTAATATGGATGTTCAAAAAGTAAAAATGGAAAGGAGCACTGAGAAAGGGGTGAAAGAGAAAAGATGCGAGAAGAAAAAAAAAGGGTGTTGGAAGCGAAGGTATAGGGAGATTAAGAGACGAATCTTGAGAGGAGAAAAAAGGGAGATGGAAGTGGAGGAATGGTGGAGGGCAAAGGCTAAATTCCAGTTTTTGCATACTTTTTACATAATTACATTGATCCGGCTTGGACTAAGCTCGGGGGTTACTATAGTGATCTCCACTTGTTTTGGGATTCCGTGCCGAGCGGCTGAACTGATGCTTACTGAACCCAGGAGGTCACCTGCTTGGGACAGGTGCCATTTAGCGAACACTTCATTTTCTCAATAATTAAAAAGCTTTCTCTGATTGGACAAGGTGGAGATACTGACATCACTGCCCTGCCTTGCCACCATCTTCAATCAGAAAATGCTTTGCTTTTATTGATGAAATGCAGACTGTTTGGTCTTTGCTGAATGGTGCCCATAATGAGCGAGTGACCTGTCTTCTAAATGCAGCCGCTTGACACAGGACCCGGAAACTAATGGAAATCACTGCAATAGCGGTGCATGCTAAAGTGATTTCCAGCTTCCATGGAGATCCCACAGGTATTACACCAAGCTAGAGCAATGTAACTATGTAAAAATTGCCATACCTGATATCAGCTTTAAGAAACAAGCCTGATTTCAGCACTGGCGAGCGTTTTTCCAGTGTTTGGAACAATTATGACTAATTTCACAATGTTAGGATCAGAAATATTTTTATGTCCTTAAAGTGTAAGTAAAGACAACATTTTTTTTTAATTTTTGGATAGAGTGGAGAGAGATTTTTATTGCTGTCTATGCACTCATTAGGGAGATTCACCCCCTCTAAGCGGCATTGATCAGATAGACAGATATTTCCATGTATTTAAATGACTATCAGACCTTTCAGTGTAGATATAATGAGCAGTCACTATCTTTAGTTTCATAGATTGAGTTACATTTGCTGCTCTCTGAGGCACAGCTGGATTCCCCATTCTTCAATAGAGAATCCAAGTTTGAGCAGCATCCATTGTTTATATAGTGAATGTTACAGCTAACATCTCAATCAGTTTTTTTCTAGAAGTTGCCAATTGCAGATGGCAAATCATTGAGGGTGTTCACAATTACCTAGCTACTTCCTGTTTGTACAGATGCTAAAAAATAGTTCAGGGACACACAATCTACATCTGTACACTGTATCCTTAGATGCTGGCAGGAAAGGATAAGCCTTATTGTGTGGATAATACTTAAAGCTGAACTCACGGCAAAATGTTGAATATGCAGTTGAAATATATATAAAGGAGATGTGTTACCTGCCAAGGGATTTGTATTTCTGTCCATCCATTCCCAAGATTTACACATTCCTGCCAGATAGTACAGATAGCCTGGTGGCCTGACTTTTCTCTACTGCAGTTAAAGCTAAGTCCCTTCTCCGCCTCTAATCCGTGACTGGACAATGAGAAGGCAGCAACTGAATGATACGGTCATCTCTCTATTAGCTCTTCCTGTCATCATGTTCCTTGTTAGCACATATGAATGCAGAATGACTGATAAGACCCAAGTGTTCTTTTGTCAAGTACTTGTATGAGGAGATCAAGATAACAAATGTGGCCTTTTGCTCAATTTCTGTCTAAATATCCCTGGAAGTTGAAAGGGCCTGCAACAGTGATAGAAGGGACCCAGTGCCTGGCCGCTGAAACCGGTGACTGGAAATCAAAAGCATTGGTATTGGGTGTGCTGGAGTACAGCTGATAATGCACTGAGGATACACCAAGTTCAGATATTTGCAGAGTCAGATCACAAGCCGTAGTAGGTGAACAGTGAAGCATCAAATTGTGGGCAGAATCACGGCCAGAAACAAGCAAAGGTTGACAATGTGCAGGATGTACATTGTAACTTGTCAGAAAGCAGAATGTTGGTCAGAAGTCCAGGCAAGAGTCTGTAGGCAGGCTAAAGTTAGCTGCCTACAAAGAGAGTGTATCATGTTAGTGAGCCAGCTAGTCTGCCCAGGTTAGGGAAGGGCTAACACTTTCTCTCAGGAACGCAGGCTTTTTGCAGGGCTCTGCCCTCCTCCCTGTATCATATAAAAAGGGGGAAGGCTCTGCACAGACAGGCCCTTATGGGAAGCAGTAAGAAGCACACAGATGAAGATGTAATTCTTTACAGCCAGCAATCACATGACTGGAGGGAGAGAGAGAGAAGCCAGCATGGGAAACTGCTGTGGAGCTGCAGTGCCTTGCTGTCCCACAAGAGACTGGAGAACTGCCAAGTATGGATTTCCACCAGTTAATGGATTTTCTACTCTCAACGGTATGCCTGGGCAGCCACTAAAAAGACAGTTAGTCAGGATTAGGATGTTCTGGACTTTGTTTGCACTATATTATGTTACTATGATGCTACTAAAGGGGTGCATGAGTGTCATATGGCAGATATGATAAACTACTCTGGGTCTGTAAAAGCACTAGAAGGGTATGAAGTACACTACACTACTGTGTCAAGTGAATGTACCAAGCAAGAGCAAGGTTGTTACTAAGTCCACACTGAAGACACAAGGCAACCAGTTTTGGCATGGTACATGGGGAAGATGAGGCATACTCTGCTAGCAAGGGGGCTGCTAACTGGGCTCCCACCCTAACGGTCCATCTCCCATAGCAACTGGGAGTAGACCAGCGTTATAGAGACCCTCAGCCTAACTGTGTGTAGTACGGAAGAGGGAGAGTTTAATTAGGACACACATGAGACCCGATCAATATGTCCAGCTGGGTTTTATTCTGTTCCTGGGAGTGAGGTAACAAAGGTATGCTGGTTGTTGGAGGTAGTGCAGCTTGGCTTGCTACTCTGAATGCAACATAAGCAAGTCACTGTGTGTGGAGCAATGGGACAGCTCTTGGAATTTAGAAATACAGCTTTATACTACATGCAGTGTCAGCTCATCTCTAAGTCAGGAGACTGCCTTAATGTTAGATTTTGTACATGACCACAGTTGCTGCCTAGTCCTGGACATTGATGAGCATGCCAGGCAAAGGTACTCTTAGTGCACAGGCGCAGTAGGCCCTGCTCACACTGCTTGGAGTGAACCTAGTGGTTCACTCCAAGAACCTAGTGGGCTTACAGTCATGAGGAGCATTTACTACCACACCCACTCACAGGTTGGTAAGAGATGTGATCAGCAATCATAAGCAGAGAACGGAAATGCAAGAGCAGGTCAGGTTGAAGCTGGATCAGTAACGAAGGGCAAACAGAAGTTCAAAATCAAGAATCAGGGTAACAGACTAAAGGCCCGATCAGAAATAAACCTATGAAAACTCACATTTAAATAGCCCACCAGGTGTTAATGTCTGTGATGCGTGCCTGTTAATGCCCCTCTAGTTAGGCTTCTATGCACAAAAACACATGCATGCTTATGCCCTCTTCCAGTTTGTGTGCTCCTGTACAGAGGATTACTAGAGGCTAAAATCAAGTCACATCCTGACATTTATACTAGCTGCATTTAAAATACATTTTATTATGCCTAATGAGTACATAGCTGCCATAATCTGTTTTTTAAAGCTGAACTTCAGCCTTACATTTAGTTTACCACAGTTGTACAGGCTCCTCTCCCTTAGCTGATTCAAATGAAAGTTAAAAAGCCTTATTATGAGTGGTCCAATTTAGAGGTAAAAAAATGTATTGATCCCAAAGGTTCTCTGGATCAATATGTATTTCTTCCAATTAAAAGTAGCAGTTTATATTGGCACTTATTAGACGTTTATCCAAACCATTCTGCAACAATCTACCAACACTGCTAGAGCCAGTTTCTATGGAAAACTATTTGCTTTTGTATAACTCTTATAGTGAGGAATGTTTACCGTGTGCGGTGCGTTAGGATCTGCCCTTGTGTTGGAGGGAGTTATTATTCTCACCTTAAATAGCTCTTCTCATGCGTAAATACATTCAGTTCAATTCAATCTTTTCTAAGGTTAAAGTCCTTTAACCTTTTTATGATCAGAGGTCATTGGAGTCCAGCTGCGAAAACACGATTTAGCACCATCAGAATCCATTGAATAGCTCTGGCTAATGTTCCTACCTTTTTGACTTCTACATTGATCAAAGGCATATAATATTTTTATTTGGTATGCTGTTTTGATAATACCCTATGTTTTCTATATTGTTAGCCAATAAATGGAATAATGCATTATTTATACAGGACAGTTCTTAGTAGTTCATTTTTTTTTTAATGTACTGTTTTGTAGCACTGTAGTTATTTCTCTCTGCTCAGCTGAAACCTTTAGGAAACTTTGCAGAAACAAAGATTCTAGTGACCACCATGAGTGGCTGTCATTGTGATCACATGATCAGTAACCACGATGTTTGATTCCTGATCATTAGTCTGAGATCTGCAGCTGTCAGTGAGACAGAAATGGAATTGCACACAGGAGCACGCTGGTAGTTCAAATGAATGTCACATCATGGTGGACTCGCCTGAGAACATTACTCCACAGATTGTAGAAGCATATGTTTAGGACTCTTAATATTTCAGTTTTCCTTCTCTGCATATTTTTGATTCCAGGACATCATTTCTGTGAAGTGGTGACCACATTTGAACTAATACCTTGTATAGGCAGGTCTATGACAGGGTTTCTAAACCAGGGTTCCTTTGAACCCTAGGGTTTTTCCAGAGGTTGCTAGGGATTCCTTGAGCAATGAGTAGTTTCTGTCTCTCATATAGGTTCCCACCAACACCATTAATCTTTTTAGCTATCTCTAAGGGAGTAATTCTTCCCAAGGGCCACCAGCATAAGGAGCATTCTTCCCACTGTCCATCACACTAATGTATCATGAGTTGGAGATATAGTAATTTTTAGCAGGGGTTCCCTGAGACCAGAAAGTTATTTCAAGGGTTCCTCCATATCAAAAAGGTTGAGAAAGGCTATCTATGATCTAGCAGGATACACAGATCTTTCTCCATCTCGCTCTCTTAATTGATAAAATCCTGAGGAGGAACTAGCTGAACTTTCTGGATAATTTAATTAAATGTATTGAAGTGAATTGAAGTCAAGTGAACATGTATTTACTTCAGTCATCAGACTTTGAGCGGTGGAATAAAAAAGGGATTTTTCTGCACAGAATTGGATTGATCAAGCCTAGGTTCACTTAACTTCACTTTAGAAATTCTTGTTTCATTCGAAGCATCCAATAAATATATTCACCATAATTACCTCCTGTGAATTATGACTCAAATTCCAGATAACATGACAGTTGGCAAGAACTTTTGGTAATTCACATCAAGGGACACGAATTAGATTTCTGACATTAACAAAATTTGTAATGTTTTATATGTCACTCTTAATATTATCTTAATAAAGGTTAAGTTTCATCTTTATTAATCCTATTTGAACTGGCATTTGAAGAGGTTTCCAGGGATTAAGGACAATGTCAAATAAGTACTTCAGAGCAGCGAATGAAACGCACGTGACGGAAAACTCATCTTTTTACCATGTTGAGCGAAGGATTCTCAGGTTACCGTGATTTTTAAATTTCTCAGTATGTGGAAGTACATTGCCCTTACAGACTTATTTAAAAGAACACTCTAACAAAAACTGTGTTTTTGGGTTTTGGTAGAGTAGAACTATCTTTGATCTTAAACTAGACCTGTACTGTTGTCTGGGGCCCCTACTAGTAGATGTTCAGGCAAAGATCATAAATCATAGTTGAGTATTTAGCAGGCTACTCTTCCTAATGATGCTGATTTTTATAATTATAGGTTATTTCATATAATGATAATATTCAGGCTATAACCCCTTAAATTTACATGAGTTTATGTAGATTTTTCTTTGCCAGGGGTACTTGGGAAGTCATAGTAAAAGATTTTAAAAAAGTCCACATAAATAAAATATAATGATTATTATTAGCAGCAGGGTTATACTGTAGTTTGTACCAGCAGCTGTCACATTTTCTGGACAGGTTGATCAGTAGGTAAAGACGAAGAAAAATAGAAAATGATACTTAAATGTATTAACCACATCCAGTTGCAGAATACAGAATACAATATTTTTTTGTGACACTGGTCTTTTAATGTAATAATATTTTGTGTAGTGGTATCCCCATAGGAGCCTTCAATATTAAAGGTCCCTTGGGTATTTTCCCATAGTTGCCCCACAGACAGGCACACTGTCACAGTCACTTCTTTGACTCAATGAACAGTCCGGAGGTATCTTCATTTGGGAAACTATGTACAAGCAAGAGGACACTCTTTCTTCTATAGAACTATGAGCCAAGTCCTTGCACACATTAAAAAATTGGATTGAGCCTTGTAGTAACAACTTGAGAAATCTGAGTCCTCTCACTAGACTCAAGAATGAAATAGACTGAGCTCTTTAGCACACCAGACACAATTTGAACACGGTTGACTGTACATCACCAAGGGGTGACAACAGCATACAGTCTCTAGGATCTCTCACAGATCCTGAAACTGAGTCTGTACTCATTGATAGTCCTGGTACAGTGCCGGGACAGGGTCAACTGGTGCCCAGTGCAAAGATGGAAATTGCCCCCCCACCATCGGGTGGAAGGGGTATGGTGGGGGGCACCAGTTGACCCTGTCCCGGCACTGCTGATCATTCAGTTCAGGGGTCCCCTCTAAGCAAAGAGGGGTGACTGCAGTCACTGGCTGTCTGCTCTGCTCCTCCAGTGCTCACTGGAGCACCAGGCTGTGGAGGAGGTGGGAGAGGCTGGCTCAGGCTCTCAGCAGCTTGCCAGCTGGTGGTCCATGCATCTGGGTGGATCCTGACTTTAAAGTTGGGATCTCTCCAGAGCTTGGACTGGCTCTGTGACATCAGCTGATTGTGGGCTTTAGCCCTCTGTCGGCTGAAAATGGGTCACAGGAGTGTAGAATGAAGTGCACTCCAGTGACACATAGAAGTACAGCCAAACAAGCTTTGGCCAAACATCTCCTTTTAATCTTTCTGTACTAATGGTCAGTGCTATTTCAAACATCATCCCCATTGATGGGCAGTGGTGGTGTTAATTAAATCCTTTGTGCTGTATTAGTTTCCACTGGCAGTGTTTAATAACCCCTTCATTTTGTAGCATAAAGGGGTTAATTAACACTGTCACTGGTGCCACTAATGCAACACAAAGGGGTTAATTAACTGCAGTACATTAACCACTCTGTGCTGCCACTACTAATGGAATTTTTAATGTATCCTGTCATCACCCCCACTCCCCAGAGAGTTAACCACTCCATTGAAAAACACTGTCAATGTGTAAAAAATTAGGTTTAGGAGAATCTCCCAGCTGTGTTTGTTTCTTACTTGCATGCTCGCTTCCTTGCAGCGCCAGCTCCACTCTCTTCCGCCTTCCCAGCCTCTGAATGACATCACCTTAGACTCACAGGTTGGGACTAGAAAGATCTGCCAGGCAGAGATCACTTCATCTGGCAGGTTAGACTAGTGCCGGGTGCAGGAGCACACTCGGCACACTGCTGCAGCTGTACAAGCACTGTATGTGCACAGTGTGTTCTGGCTGTGCATCAGCGGTGGATGGTGATCTTTGTACTGGACTGGCTATGCATGCACCACCTGACTGATTAGCTTGACTGACACACCAACTCTGCACCGGCACCCCCCCGAGAAGATTGTTATGCCTAGGGCTCCCACCCTTTCAGCCCACCCCTGCTCACTAATGTCCTCAGTGTATTGGTTGAGTGCTTCCAATAACTTCCAGACACGTTCTCCCAGCGACACCAGACTAGATTTTCAAATGACAAGCCCCTCAGTCACCTTTCACCAGTCAACTTTCAGCTAAATTGGCCCCCAGCCAGCTCTGCTGGGATCGCAATGAACAGCAGACACATGACAGGCTTGTCCAGGGGGCACAACAGCCCCCTAGGCTGTGATCTCCTCAGGAACAAGACATTTCTGTTCCAGTTCTAAGACTATTTATACAGGTTCCCAGCAACCATCTGTACAGTCTACCACAGGGATTGGCTGAGACAGTATAAATGCTGCCCATTTGCCTTACTCTGCCCCTATGTTCCAGAACCACCCTGAGAGGTCTGGTTTGCAGGGAGAGCAATCAGACCTGTAGCACTGACTGCAGTGAACTGAGAACTAAATTTGCCTAACCCTAGCACCTTTTTAGGAGGATTCTACAATTGCATAGCAGTAAAAGCTGGTACTAGATTAAGCCTTGCTGCATTCCACTGAAACAAAGGGATCTCTTTTTCATGGAATTGCTGTTTAGCAATTAAATCTAAAAAATCAGTTATGACAAATTAAAGGTAGTAACTTGTGGTAGTTAATCACACCTCAGTCTGCATCAGTTTACAGCAGACATAGGAATAAAAAAAATGTTTTTAGGTTGTGGTGGGTTACTTCACGTTCCAAAGAGCACTTTATTAGTGTTTTGATTAGCTGTATCTACTTATCAGGTCAGTGTATAAAACGACTGCCTCTCTTGTGTTCTGCTGAAAATAAGTTGATTGATCTGTTCTATCATGCAGGGCTCTACATTTGGATGGTTTAGCTGGTTTCGTTCCAAGCCAACCAAAGAAATTTCAATCCCAACAAGGAATCCACAAACTGCAAAATCTTCAACTCAGGTAGAAATACATAATACTGCACTTATAAAGCATATCAGCTGTGAACCACAACCAATTTATACATATGTTTTTGGCATATTGTTTCTGCACATTTGTTGGTGCTCTGTTCTACTTAAAGTAAAAAGCCAACAACTTATTTTTGCCAGGTTTATACAGTTATCCAGGACTCTATTAACCTCTTCACGCCTAAGGGTAAAACAAATCTAAATGCCTAAGCACAATTTTGCAATGTTGACATGTGTTAGTAAAACCGTACATATCACCACAACTACTTTGTACATTCAGGTGAATTATACCTTGTTTTTTTTCAGGACAAATTGGGCTTTCATTTGGTGGTAAATGGTAATGGATATCTCCTGATTTTTTTTATTATCAAAGGAAAACTGGCCCAAAATAGTAAAAAAAAAAAGTTTTTTTTATTTAGCTGTGTGTTTCTTGTTACGACCATAACCTACCACCAAAGAACAACCCAAAATAAATTCTCCAGCTCTTGACAATTGCAGTGATACCATATATGTGTATGTTATTTGTTTTATGTACCCATAGTACAGCCCAGAAACAATAGTGCACATTTTGTTTTTGTCTTTTTTTACCTAAAACACATTGACAATGACACTAATTCCAATTTTTTTTAATCCTGACCTTTGACCCTGATTCTTTTGACCTTGACCTTTGACCCTGACCTTGACCCAAACACTTACCCTGGCACTGAACTAGATCAAACATTGAACTAGGTATTTTTTTCTTTAATTTTTTAATATATATCTTTTTTTTTTTTACAAACACATTTTTTTCCCTCTATGCCAGGAGTTAGAGAGATACAATGTATCTCTCTCCTTCATTCATAGAGAAAAAAAAAAAACAAGGGGGCCTTGTTGATCACTGTGATAGCCAATCAGAGGCTATCACAGCGATTATGCGACCCAGAGTCGGGAATCCCGGGTCCCGATCGTTAGAACGGGACCCGGTGTTCTCAGGGACACCACGCTCTTTGTGCTGGGAGCGCAATATAAACAACTAAATACTTTTTCTCATCAGCAGTTAGAGCAGCCTTGTCACTTCTATCAGTGTTCAGCCGAGCACTGGTTAAAGCTTGTAGGAGGATGCAGAACCCCGACCCTCTGTCTCGATAGTGCTGATTGGCCCTGCGCTGATCACATGCACTCTCCCAAGAAAAAAAAAAACTCTCTAGCAATACGCACCAAACTGAGTATGTGCAGAATGACTATATGTCTTATCAGGAGATAAGAGGGGGACACTGAAAGAAGAGGAGGTTCAGAGAAGTCAGGATCAAGCACCATTTTTACACAATGCAGAGGATTAACCCCTCAGGTTCCACAGTGAGTATAACAAACATGTTTACTGCATATTCAGACTGATTCTACTGTTTTGAGTTATTTACACTTTAAACCTTGCTCCATTCCACAGAAACAAAGGGATCTGTTTTTGATGGAACTGCCGTTTAGCAATGAAATCCAAAAATTCAGTAATGAAAAGTTAAAAGTAATAACTTGTGGCAGCTAATCACAATTCAGTCTGAATCAGACCCCCCCAGCCTCCCAGCTGGTCCTGAGGTGAACTCACTACCTCACTCCCAGGCTGACTCATCCCAGGCTTCTAACAAGCCTCTAACTAAAACAAACAACAAATGCTGTTTTCTTAGAGGGTGCTACACCACCAAGCATACAGATGTAGCATGCCACCACTACCATAGGAACATAGAAAAGTGATGGCAGAAAAAAAGACAGAGTGGTCCATCGAGTCTGCCCATTTATTCCCAGCACTACCTCTGCTGGAAGTTTATTCCAAGCATTAACTACTTATTCAGTAAAAATGTACTTTCTGAGATTAGTTTTAAACTTTCCTCCATTTAGTTTAAGGTCATGTCCCCGTGTTTTTGATTTTGGTTTCATGTTGAAAATACTGCCCTCCTGAACCTTATTCACCCCCTTGATGTATTTAAAGGTTTCAGTCATGTCTCCCCTTTCCCTTCTTTCTTCCAGACTGGACATGTTAAGTTTCTGAAGTCGCTCTTGATATGTTTTATCTCCCAGACCTTTCACCATTTTTGTTACCCGTCTCTTGACTCATTCTATTTTATCAATACCTTTTTGCAAGTGAGGTCTCCAGAACTGGATACAGTATTCAAAATGAGGTCTAACTAAAGATCTATACAGGGGAATCAGGACCTCCTTCCTCCTGCTGGTGACCCCTCTAGTGATGCATCCTAGAATTATATTTGCTTTCCCCACTGCCTTTCCCCACTGTATGTACCAACCATACAAAAGTAGCACCATTACCAACCACAGAGAAGTAGAATGCCACCACCACAAGCTACACAGAGTTAGCAGGGCTAAGACTCCAGTGTAGTATTAGGAATCGGCAAGGAGACCTTGATAAATTCCCTGTGAAATATGAGCTGGTTGCCTGTCTCCTGGGCATTGCTGCAAAGGATGTAGATAGAAATAGGCTGGCAACAATTGATAATACAATGCCAACACATTTCTACCGCTGTGGCCTTACTCATAGCTATGAGTGTTCATGTTTTTTATAAGGCGATGTTGTGCACAATATGTTGCACTCTCTAGTTTGTGTTTCAGTCTCTGTGAAATATCAGCTCTGGATGTACCTTCAAATAAGCAGTATCATGTTTAGAGCACGTACCATTCATTTTCTCATATCAGTATCTTTAGCACATTTACTTTCCCACCTCTGATAATAGCTCCATCTAGAAGTCAGTATGGGCTTGCTCTTACTTAAAATTAAAGGTAATGTATTGCACTACAAGTGTTTGGAGATTAATGAATGGACCCAGCCCATTCATCTATGTGGCGCCAGTTGTCACTGTGTAAATGTAAAAGCAGTGGTGATCGATATGACACTGATGGTCCCTGTATTTTAAGATTAATTAGCGTTTATTTTTTTCAGTGATTGCATTGTACCTTGCAGTACTAGCATTTTCATTGATCCATTAGCATCTTATTAACATGGTTTGCCTTCACTTTGTTTTAAATAGTATTTTACATTATATTTAACTGCATTCACTGGATCTTACTCTAGGCTCAGCTATGTGGTCTACATCTCTACACATATGTATTTTTCCACCTTTCCTTTAATTCAGGCTGAATCTCCACCAAGACCAAGTGACAAAATTCTTCCACCACCTCCAACCTCTGGCTACTTGGCTCCTGACAACACAATGAATTTATCCTCCAGAGGTACTGCTTCTTGTTATGCAATATGTAACCTGTAATCATATCAAGGCCGGCCCCTTCCAAAATTCATAGTTCATATTTGCATGGGTACTGACTTACATTCTTATATTGCTCAGAGACCTCAGAAATGATATTTCCTCACATTATTTTTTTTGTCCATCAATGACCACAATGCCACGAGAAAATGTGACTGTGTTACTGTCCTAGTCAAGCATTTTCCCATAATTTGGCTTTGCGTTGGGCACAACAGGTTATCAGTTCTAGGAATTCTGGTTGGGATATCTTGCTGAATTCTCAGAAGTATGGAAGTCAGCAAGTGATTTATCTTCTCATCGAACACAAGTAACCCATATGGGCAAACTATGTGGACTCCTGTCACCTATGTGATTTTGTTAGACATCTCTTATTAATATGAAGTCCCTCCCCCCACCCACCCAACAGGATATTGAATGAAGTGAAGACAGGATGAGAGTGACAGGGACACTTTAATGCCATGTCAACAATTGCAGGTCTCTTTGTATCCTTACAGACTCACTCTAACTGTGGTCCACTAACAATAAATGTTTTGTGAAGGGAGGTATAGACATGTATATGTTAATGATTAATGATATGCTACATTTTCTTTTTCCACATAACTCCACAACTCATTGCTCACCTTGCTAAAAGATAACTATAATTCACATTTTCACTTCAGTTGCCTCCCCTAACTATCTCAAAGCACTGAAATCAGAAAGGAAGCATGGAGAGTGGCTGTAGTCATAAGGTAGGGGTGCTCAACCTGTGGTCCTGAATGTAGGAATTTTGCTGCGCTTTCAGAAAATGTAGCACACCCACAAAATAATATAGAGGTCTATAGCAAAGCGTAGCTAACCCACTGGAAAGCCGCTGGTGCATTGCGCTTGCAGTGCAAGTAAACCGCAGTGCTTCAGCCTGAAAGCAGCCTTATAGAAAACTCAGGACAATAAGGGCTTGTTTACATTTGTGGTTTCGGAGGGGCTATAACCACACACCTCCAATCGCTGGTGTAGCATCAGGGGTTGCAATGAGGGCCCTGCCCCATGCTCCTGTGCGGCCTCCCTAGCACATTCGGTTCTACACTTGGACAGGAGGGGCAGCAGAGCCGGTATATACATGAACCAATCCTCTCCATTTTCCTCCTGCAACCTCTGAAAGCCAGCTTCTCCCTCTCAACGTCATTCAGCGGCTGCAGGAGGAAAATGTTCATTATGCTATTCAAAATAAAAAAAATTAAATTCTGTACCATTTAATTGCATTGTGGTCCATGACCAGTTACCAAATCACTTAAGTGGCCCTCGCTTTAAAGAAGGTTGAGCACCCCTGTCATAATGTATGAACAGAATACTTGCACACTATGGCAGACTTATCTCTAGGTTTGCCCCGCTGCAGCTCTGACAACTCCATAACCTCAGCCTGGCTGTCCCCAACCACTAAAATGTTGCTTCCTCTGCAGTGGCGGACTCATAACTCATGGGGCCCCCGGGCAATAGGGGATCATGGGGCCCCTGTGTCCTTGCCCAAACTCAAAAAAGCCTATGAAAAAGGTACAGGGGGCATCTCATGGGGCCCCCTACTGACCCCGGGCCCTCGGGCAGTGCCCGAGTTTCCAAATGGTCAGTCCACCCCTGTTCCTCTGTGTCCAGCATCTAATCTTTGGCCGTTGAGCAGCCACTGATGTTCTGCACATGAGCATTGAAGTTGCATCTTACCGACACCCGGCTCCATTCTTGGCATCTCACAAATGACTGGGAGTGCACACTGTGAATGAACTGCGGGCAATGTACACTAAGAAAATAATTGTTAAAAGCAAGGTGAAGGAGTATTTTGGCAGAAGAAACGTGCATTGTCTATTCTGCTTAAAAGCTCTACATCTCTGCAGTGTGTTTCTTGAGTTTAGTTCCCCCAATAATAGCCCCCCATTACAAACCTTAGTGGTTGACCTGGAACAAGAACTGTGGACTGGATGGGGATCCCAACTTTGTTAAACATAAGTGCTCTGGTAACTTAGATATAGAAAAAAAACTAAAAGAATATACACATACAAGCATCTATAGGGTGTAAAACGTTATACTATGCAGCATACAGCTGTTTGATATATATTTTGTGACAAACAACATGTTTGGATTCAGGGCAGTGTCCTGGTTGGAGTTAATTTGGCCCATAACTTGCATTATTTTGTGAGCTAAGCTGGTGGTAGTGGTAGGGCTGTGTATCAGTGTTAAGCACTGCACACACCAATTCCCCCATTTGTGGGATAATTAATGTCTTCTTTGGCATCATATTGCACATGCATTGTTGTTTAATTGCTTTTGAATAATTGTATCTCTTCCTGGCCCTGTAGCATGGAGATGCTCTGTATAGCTAGTCCCACCGTCTTTTCATGGTATCTTTAATTTCTGTTCTGAGCACTAGCAAGTGCTTTAGCTATAAATGCTATGATTGTTGATCTGATGTCATTTGGATTGAGTCACTGTTTGCTAATTCTACTGAGACTGTAAGTTACAGCTGTCTTTTCACAACTGCATCAGTTGTGGAAATCACACTTCAGTGGTTATATTGCAGAGGCAAAACACTCAAAAATCTTCTTTAGCTCCAGACAAAAAAATAATTTAGCTCCAGTCAAAACATCATTTATCTCCAGGCAAAAAATCCTTTAGCTTCAGTCAAAAAATCTTTTAGCTCCAATGAAAAAATCATCTATAGCTCTGAAATATACTGTAAAATGTGATATGGACAGCTTAGGGCAGTGCAAACATTGTCCTACAAGCCTCTGCATGCCTGCAAGCTATTCACAGCATCCTACAGCCTACAAGAGAGCAACAATCCAGTGTTTTTCTAATGGACCTGTGTTATACAAGTCAACTTGTGCCTCATACATGTATACAGTAAAAGCTGCTACTATGTGTCATTATGATTTTTGCTTAAAAGAGCACTTTCACGCTGATGTGCTGTGGTACTCCCGAAACGCGGGTTAGCTGCAGTTCGCCAGAGACTTCTATTGTATCCTTTTTTTGGTGCACTTTCTGAAAGCGACTCACCTCTTAAAGCAGTACAAGACTGAAGAGTCACAGGAAGAATTAAAGGGATTTGATGAGCTTAATCTAGAGAGAGACAGTTTAGTACTGGGTATATGTAAGGGTTTACAACCAATTTAAGGGAGGCTATTTAAAGCCCATGTACAGGCAAAAACAAAGTTTTCCTAGATTACCTCTTTGCAAACTAAACCTTCCTACCCCAACAGTATACATCACCCTCCTAGTTAGCTAGGAGCTCTAGCTTTAATTGTTAGATAGAGGCTGAATAGCAGTCTTGGTGTAATAGCTAGGTGGGTCAAATTTAGGTCAGAGCTGAAAGGCTCTGCAGACCAGCTCGGTGGGATTTGCCGCTGCTCTAGAACTTTGGAAAAAAATCTAGAAGCAGTAGGTGGAGGTGAGGAGTGGCTGGCCTGTACTCTTAGAGGATCCTGGCCGATCCCCAACAGAAGGCTTGGCAAGAGGCCAGGACAGCCTTTAAGAGTAAATGAGCCTTCTCAGCAGCAGGAGAGTTGGAGGAGAGTTTGGGTGGAAGATAAAGAAGTGAGGCTGGAGAGTAGGAGCCTGGGAGGGGACCCAGATTTAGAAGGGACTCACCTCCAGGCAGGAGGATCTGGGGACTTTACTAGCCCCCTGAGAGAGGACCATCTGTGTAGTAGGGAAGGAGTGGCCAAGCTAGAAGGCCTGGTAGCAGCCACCAACCCACCAGTGACACAGCAAAAGGACTAAGTGAGTAAACCTGCACCCTCTGGGCCACATAGAGGAAGGATCACGCTGGTGGGGAATCAGAGTAGCGACTACCCAGAACTGTCATACTTTAACGTGACAGGCACTGGATTCCCTGCTCAGGAACTCACCCAGATTGGCTGGAGTAGGAGAAACTAGGGTACTGTCTCCTGGATGCAAGTTAATGTGAAAATGCGTGTTGCCTGGCTGTGCAGGACTATAGGGGGACCAAGAACTTCAATGATTCCTAAGGGGGTAGTGCTACACATACATACACACACATATATATATATATATATATATATATATATATATATATATATACATACTGTGTGTTCCTGAGCTATATTATATAAGAAACTTAGCTAAAGATAAACTATATTGCCAAACGTATTGGAACGCCTGCCTTTACACACACATGAACTTTAATGGCATCCCAGTCTTAGTCCATAGGGTTCAATATTGAGTTGGCCCACTCTTTGCAGCTATAGCAGCTTCAACTCTTCTGGGAAGCCTGTCCACAAAGTTTAGGAGTGTGTCTATGGGTATGTTTAACCATTTTTCCAGAAGCGCATTTGTGAGGTCAGGCACTGATGTCGGACGAAAAGGCCTGGCTCGCAGTCTCCACTTGAATTCACCCCAAAGGGTTGCAGTCAGGACTCTATGCATGCCAGTCAAGTTCCTCCACCCCAAACTTGCTCATCCATGTCTATATGGACCTTGTTTTGTGCACTGGTGTGCAGTCATGGTGGAACAAGAAGGGGCCATCCTCAAGCTATTCCCACAAAGTTGGAAGCATGAAATTGCCCAAAATGTTTTGGCAGGCTGATGCCTTAAGAATTCCCTTCATTGGAACTAAGGGGCCAAGTCCAACCCTTTAAAGACAACCCTACGCCATAATCCCCCCTCCACCAAACTTTGCACATGGCACAATGCAGTCAGGCAAGTACCGTTCTCCTGGCAACTGCCAAACCCAGACACATCCATGGGATTGCCAGACAGAGAAGTGTGATTCATCACTCCACTGCTCTAGAATCCAGTGGCGGCGTACATTACACCACTGCATCCGCCGTTTTGCATTACACTTGGTGATATAAGGCTTGGATGTAGCTGCTCGGCCATGGAAACCCATTCCATGAAGCTCTCTATGCACTGTTGTTTTGATAATTTGAAAGCCACATGAAGTTTGGAGGTCTTTAGCTATTGATTCTGCAGACAGCTTGCGAC